CTCTCTCCCTCTCCCACCCCACCCTTCTGTCTCTCTCTCCCCCTCCTTCTCTTGGTGCTTCTCCTGGGAACCTAGCCACCATGTTGTAAGGAAGCCCAGGCTCCATGAGGAGACCATGTGAGGTTCTGCTGAGGTCCCAGCCTATATCCAGCAGCAAATACCAGACAAGTCTTCAGATGATTCCAGCCTGTGCCTTTCAATGGCCACAAACAACTTAGATGAGTGGCACCCTGCCCCAATCACAGACTTAGAAGAAAAATAAATATTGTTTTAAGCCTTTATTATTCATTACTAGGTGTACAGAGCAAAGAGTAAAGCATAAAATAGCTATAGCGAGGTTATTTTTTTTAAGAGAGAGAGAATTGGGTTTTTTTTAATATTTATTCTTTAGTTTTCGGCGGACACAACATCTTTGTTTGATGTGGTGCTGAGGATCAAACCCGGGCCGCACGCATGCCAGGCAAGCACGCTACCACTTGAGCCACATCCCCAGCCCCACGTATTTATTTTCATCTTGTCTGATTTATTTTCTATTATGTTTGTGGTGAAGTTGCTACTAATGCTTCCACTGTATAGAAGAGAAAACTGAAATTCAGAGACAAAAAAATTCAGCCCAAACTTTCCTCAGATGACAAGTTAAAGCTGGAGTGAGCTCACACCTTCTGTTCCTTCAGGATCTCTGTCCTTTTGACAGGGCTTAGGAGACATTTCCTCATTTACTCCAGATTTTGGGGTAAATATCACCTGCCTGAGCCCCAGGACCCTGCCATTCCCAGCTTCAGGAATCTCCCCTCATCCCACACAGAGGGTGGTCAGAGACAATGTGGCCAGGTAGCCAGTCTTGCCTTGCAGAGCATGAACATTAGTCAGGCCACCTCCTCCAGCCATTTATAATGTTCCTGGTGACTGCACCCCTCCGTCCTCATCCTACCAACTTCCAGATAAGCCAGCAGAATGACCTTCTGAAATACAAATGCCAGGACCTCCTAGTGTGGCACCTGGAGCCCACCCTGTCTGACCTTGTCCACCTCACACCCTCCCCTCCAGTAAAGCCACACATCGACCAGGTTGAAGAACTGACGGATTCCCAGGCCACCACCTCTCTCACCACCACATGGCTCCTGCCCTCCCCCTGCCTGGTCAGCCCTTGCCTCCTCCATCTGGGGAGCTCCCACACCTCCTGAGGCTGCACATCCCCTTGCCCCTTCCTGAGGCCGAGGCTGGGTAGATGCTCTTCTTGGAGAGTGTGTGCGTGTGCTTGTGTGTGCGCACGTGTCTGTGTGTGTGCACATGTTTTCTGTGTGAGTGTGGAGGAGTAAAGCGGGATGTATTTACAAGTGAGGACATAAATCCCAGCTCTGCCACTTGATACATTTGTGATCTTGACCTTTCGAGATCTCAATTTCCCACCTGCAAACTGGGTAGCTGGCGGTTTCTCCTGGGGTCTTTGGTGAGACGGAATGCAGTGACCTATGTGGCCCACGTACTCCCCAGCTCCCATTTCTATGATTATTACTTAGGACAGATGAGGACAAAACGCATCTCTCTCACCACCTACACCTGCAGCTCCCTGGGCAGGGCCATTGTCTTTCTACCCAGCGTTCTCGCTGCCTGGGTCCTAGCGGTCACCCAGTAGATAGGTACTGAAGGAGAAGGCGGCGTGAAGTGGAGCTGAGCTGTGTATTCAGATCTCCCGGCTGGAGAGACATGACTCCAGGCTGCTGTCAAGGTTTGGGCCCCTGGATGGACGACCTGGGGCCTGGAACCTCCAGACTCAGGCACAGTCAGCTAAATATCACCTGCCTGAGCCCCAGGACCCTGCCACCCCGGCTTCAGGAATCGCCCCCATCCCACAGGAATCGTTTCCTCTCATAAGAGCATCTCAGGAAACCTGTCCATGGCGAACGAGTTCTGATTCCGTGGCCCGTGGCCCTCAGCTCCTCAGGTCCAGCCCCATCCCTGGCAGGCCTGGGGTGTCCCCTGTCTCAGCGGAGCCCAGGAGGGGTTTGGGTGGGAAATCCCAACAGGGGTTTCTGGAGAAGCTGAGGGATAAGGAGGAGGGGGAGGAGGGGATCCAAGAGGGACTTGTCTGTTTATGAGGAAGGAAGAGAATCCCCGGTGGAGGGAAGAAAGGAAAGGAGGCAGGAGAAGGAGGGCTGAGACCATCTGAGAAGGTGTTTGGAGTGTGTCCAGTGTCACACGGCGGGCTGCCCCCTCAGTGGGAGCCTCCTGCACAGAAGAACTGCAGTGACCAAGGGACCCTGTGTCCAGCTTCGGAACAGGGAGTCGGCAGGTGGGAGTCTGGCGTGTCCCCTAGAGCTCTGTCGACTCGGCACCACCCGGGGCGGGCAGGTGGGCGAGGTGCTCTGTGCACCGTCCTGCGGTCCAGGCCTCCTCCCGCCAGCTCCGCAAGCTCTTCACTTGGGCTTTGCTTCCCTGCCCCCGCTCCCCAGACTTCTCTGGACGATGGCAGCAGAACCAGTCTCTGCTCCCGGTTCAACCTGTCCATCTGAAAATGTAAATCCCACCACACCTCCGCTGTCCTGCCAGTCCCTCTGTGACTCCCCTTTGCACTGTACCCCTTTCCTTAAACTGATTAAGGGCTTTTGATTGTGAACAAAACTAGTCCAAGCACACTCCTCATTTTGGAAAGTGCAAAGGAAATACACAGGTTACACACCACCTAAGAGGAGTGTTTAGCTGGAAGTAAGAGAAACCCCCAAACAGTAGCAGGAGGGAGCTCTTCATCAAGTAGTCTTGCCTGATGTTACTGAGCAGTGTCTGGTTTGTCTCTGCAGTTCTCCTAAGCTTTCCCTCATGCTCATAAGGTATCTGCCATAGCTCCAGCCATCATGCTCACCTTCCTGGAGGAAGAAGGAAGAGGAAACAAATAGTCCAACAGACTTGCACTTGTCCCTTACCAGCTAAGTCACATGCCACCCTGGCTGCAGGGAAGTCTGCTAGTGGGCTTTGAGCCTTGCACTTCCTGGAGGAGAGAAAGCACAGCTTGGAGGGAGTTGGAATGTGCACTGAGTGAGCCACAGTACCTGCCCTGGGAGCTCTTGGAAAGAAGGGACAGCTACGCGTGGAGCCAGGTGTCAGCAACTGTGGACCAATGGGCTCTGGCTGTGTTCAGGTTTTGGTCATGATTTACTCTCCCAGGGTCTGATTTCCAAGATGGGGCAAGTGCCCAGCCCTGCCTGGGGCAGCCTCCTAGAGTCCCGCTGCGGGGAGGAAGGTATTTCAGGGGAACAGTGGAGGCCGTGCGCAGATGCAAAATAAAAAGGTCCTCAGCGTCCCTCGGGCGCTCCTCAGGACAGAATCCCCGAGGTCCCATCCACGAAGCCACCACTGTGCCCACCAGCAAAACAAAGTGCCCCATGAGCCATGCGACGATTCCGCTCTCCAGCCAGGAGGCTGGGCTGGCCAGTCCTTTCTGCTCTGGCTGTTGCATGACTTTTATCCTCAGAGACGCCTTGAGCGTGAAGCAGACAGACCAGGGTGGGATCCAGCTCCACTCTCATCTCTGCGGTGGCTTTGGTGGCGTTTCTCTCCTCTCTGCCTCACTTTTCCTATCTGCAGATTAGGGAGGGTTAAACCAGCAGCCTGAAGTGACTGAAGACCGAAACGACCCTGTGGGGTCCAGCACCTGCCATCACACCCGACCCGAGCAGGAGCGCCATCCTGGGGTCCCCGCTGTTTCCGGTGGGACTGCAGCCACACGAGTGTGACGACCATCTCCCTCCACCCCGCTCTCCAGCGGTGGCCTTGTGCCTCCCGCACACTGCAGGGTTGATATTTGAGAAGAGAGCAAAGTTCTAATTCTTCCAGTTCGTGCTAAAAATAGTTAGTTCTTCTCTGCACATTCTGTCAGCTCAGCAAGTTGCATCTAGGGAACTGGCGGATTGTGAAAGGCCATCTTTCTAAACAGGGGTCAGATGTTCCTCATCCACAAGGGACTCTCAGAGGATGCACAAGAAGATGCAGGGCGGGTCCCGAGGTGCGGGGTCTTCCCACCCAGCCCAGGGCTGCTGACTGCATTCCCAAGGAAAAGAGGAAATCGGGAATCAGGATTTCTAGAGAGAAGGGATATTTGCTTATTCAACCATTGAAATCACCTGCAAGTCATTCACTGAGAGAGACCAGCCCAGAAACTGTCAGGTGCAGAGGATTCGAGATCGTTCAGAGTGTCTGCCTTTGAGATCTCATGGCCAAGCTGTCTGACGAATGCTGGTTCCTTCCAGCATTTGGTGATGGTGATGGTGATGAGGATGGTGATGACTACATTTCCTGAGCATTTATTAGGTATCCCCAGAGCGCCAGACTTTATATACCTCATTCACTCATCGTCCGTAACTTGGGTAGATATCTGTTCCCATTCTGCTGGTAAAAAATAAAATAAAATAAATAAATGAGCTATCAAGTTAAATAATTCAAGTGGGCTTTTTAGAAATTCTCCACCTAGAAAGATTTCCATCAGTGACAGATGTTAGGGACACATCTAGCATAAGAAGAGTCACAGTAGTCACAGAAATGGCAAAAATCTTAAATCTAGTGTCACTTCTGCTGACAAGCCAGTCACACCCTCTGGACTTTCTCGGACTCATCTCCTTGCTCGGGCAGCTCCGTGTCCCAGAAGGTCTTTTCTGTGGGGCCACAGCCCACATCCCTCAAAGCGCAGCTCATTTGGCCCTGGTACCCAAAACACCTGCAACGACCCTGACCCAGCTTCCGTTAGGACTTCTGAACGTCTGCCCTTGCCTGTCCCTGTTGCGCCCTAACTCCTGCCAGAAGCTCTGATCAGCTGTGCATGTGGCCTCTTCCTTGCTGAGCCAGGGAGCCCTCCTCCCCAGCAGAGAACCCACGCCAGGCATCTCTGTGCCTCTGGGCCCTGGGGATGACTGAATGCACCAGCAAACGAGTGACTTCACACATGAGTGCGTGGATCATCACTGCAGCCACAGGGCCCAGCTCGCAGCAGGTCCAACCTAGCTGCCTGGAGATCCCAGAGAGTGGGACTAAACATGAATAGACCAATGACACCCAGCAAGGAAAAAGCTCGCCAGCCAAGTTAAAGGGTGCAAGACGTCTGCAGGCACCGTGAGCGCAGCAGGCCAGCAGGGCGGATGGCCTAGACGCTCTACGATTCAACGCTGGACGGCACCACTCGCCACGGCCCGGCTCTGTCCTCTCAGACAAGCTCCTGGATTGCCCCCAGAGGAGGTGAAAAGCAGAAGTCATATTATTATTTTCTGCAACTCTGGGGAGAAACCAACAGCTTCTATCGGAGGGCTTCCATGCCCTGGTCTGTCTCCCCTCCCTCCATCCAACGTTTTCCTCCCACCCTTAAAGGAAAAGGCCAGATATATCTCTCTTTGAAGCCTACTTAACAAAATTCTGGATTCTCCAGTCTGCTCATAGCGATTTGCTTTACCAGAAATCCTACTTCACAACAGATTCTCTCAAGGGCAAATTACCAATGTGGAAAGTGCACTTCACTGTACAGAAGCTCAGTACTTAAGCTTGCTTTCCCCTGAACTCACACTGGGTATACAGCAGGACCAGTGGTGTGGGTTATTCAAGGGATGTTTGGGGGGAAATTGGAATGGAGGAGGGAGGACTAGAGGGAATCTGGAGTTATGGTTCTTCCCCAAAACATCCTTCCCATCTGTGATGCTTCTAGAGCTGATTGACACCATGTGTACCTCAAGATGATTCACCAAAAGTAAAGAGCCCTCATGGTCAAATGAGTTTAACAAATGTGCCTGCTGTGTCCTGCTTTTGAAGATCTATTTGGTTTATTCAAAGACCCAGACATAAAGCAACTTGTTTGGTGTTATTTAAACCCACTGTCTCAAGCATATTTGACCATAGGACCCTTTGGTTACCTAATTTCTAAGAGCATCCCACAGAGTTATTTCCCAGCGGAGAGTATCATCTTGAGAAAGCCCCTAAAGTGAAGATGGTGGGTAAAGGGCCTGGGTGTGAATCCCAGCAATGCCTCCCAACCTGTGCCAGATGGGCGTGTTGCCCTAGCCATGTCGTGTGCTTCCATCTCCTTGTCTGCCAAGTGTGGGCCCCAGGAAGAGCTGCCTCGTCAAGCAGGTGTGTGAGGACAGAAGGTTGGCAGGCCTCAGGATCCTGGAATGGAGCCTTTGTACAGTGAGGGCACCCCAGAGGCACCACAACTGTCATCTTTAGGACCCAGGACTCACATCCTCCAAAACATGGAGATGTGGGCACGAACATCCCAGAACATTCCCCAGCTCAGCCCCCAATTTTTGGGAAACATTAAAATAGAGCCTGTTGACATCAGCAAAATATAGCTGAAGCCAAGGGAAGATGGTGGTGGATAACTGCTGAGGGGTACCCAAGAGAACTTTCAAACAATGGATGACAGAAAATGAAAAGGGACCAAAGTTCTCGGTGATTAGCAAGGCCAGCACAGAATGACTGCTGAGGATGAAGCCACATTGATGCTGTGTGACCTGAAGCCAGAAACCTACCTCCTCTGTGCCTGGAACTAAGAACAGTACTTCCTTTTAGAGGATTGAATCAACTATTAACTGAACGGTGTCTGACTTCCAGCCAGCCTGGGTTAGCCTTTATTCTTCCAAACCTTTTGCTTTGGTTTTTCCTTTGGGGATCCCCTCCCCACTTGGAAACACAGATACCCAGAATCTTAGAGCTGAAGGGCACCTGAAAGGTTGCCAGGAGCAACATCTTCATTTTGCGGACAAGGAAACAGGACCCAGAAAGAAACACCTTTCCTCCATGTCACATGGCAAGTGACAGGAGAAGAGCAAGAGCCACCCGCCCTCGGTGATGCAGAGGACACGTGGGGACCCTTCCCAGAGTGCAGGCTCCCAGGGACAGCAGCTCTACAGAGAGCTGTGGCAATGTCCAGCAGCAGCCCAGCAAGGACCCCAACTCAGAGATCCTGACTCCAAACCCCTGCTCCAGAGAACCTCGCCTTGACCCGGGGGCCTTCACCTGGTGTGTGGATGGCCACTCCCATGTCTGGATTGCAGAGACAACTCTCTGCTGACGTCCCTGCAACTGGTACCTCTGGTGCCTCTGTGACCAGCCTAGTCCACTCCTCTGAACACCTCTAAGGCTTGCTCTCTACCCTGATGGACAGCTGCCAATCACAGCCTGACTCTAGAAGAGACTGTCTCAACAGTGCATCACCAAACTCCAGTTCAGCCAGCAGCCCCTGTGCTCCTACTGTGTGCTGGGCACTGGGTCTCGTAACTTGCGCCACCCATCTCTGCATTTCCCACAGCCGTCCAAGGCCACAGGGCTCATGGTCTGCATTTTGTGCCTGAGAGGGAGGGCAGAGGCCTCCAGGCCTGAAACACTTTGCTGCATTCGATTTCTATTGTCACCAAAAGAAATCCCCACACATTGAGCAGCCTCCACACCATGCAGTTATCCCCTCGGAGTGCTGTGGATGGGAAGTCTGGCCTGAGTTCACGGTGTCCCAGGGCCAGGTTCTCTGGAGGCTCTCGGATAGAATCTGTTTCCAACCTCTGTCCAGAGTGCAAAGTCACCTGCATCCCCTGGCCGCAGACCTCCCCCTCCATTTTCAAAGCCAACAATGGGCAGACGAGTCGCGTGGCATCTCTCGGACCGTCTTCCTTGGAGGCATCTCACCCTCTGACCACAGCCAGGAAAGGTCCCTGCCCTCAGGGACCATGTGATCAGATGGGCCTGTCGGGATAACCTCGTCTCAACACCGCCACATGACCCACCTGTGAAGACATTTTTTGCTGCATAACATACTCACGGGTCCCAGAGTGGACATTCACAGTGGGCCTTCGTCCTTTGCCTGGGCCCACGTGGCCAGCAAGCCCAGCAGCCCCGGGTTCCTCCAGACCCTATTGGATACCAATCAACCCTTTTGCCCTGCCTTAGCTACACTCTGCCTGCGGTTCCAAATCAGTACGATTTATTCATTCAGTTGAACATATTAATCAACTAGTTAGCCCGTGCATGAATATTCTGACCAGGCTGGGTGCTCCCTGGGATGATCAGCAGGGAAGACTAGTCATGGAGTCCCCGGTTCCAGCCCTTACTTCTAACCTTCTTAGCGAGACAACCCAGGGCAAAAACCGCCTCACCTGTCTCAGCCTCCGTTTCCTCATCTGTAACGTGCAGATGGGGATAGTAAGAGCCTCCCAGGGCTGCTGTGGGTTTAAATGAGACAGAGCACTGCACAGTGCCCAACTCCGGGAAATGGGAACCAGATCGTGTCGCTGCTGAAAACTCTCTCCATCCGCCTGCAGCCAAGAGAGGAACGGGGCCCAGGGGAGGTGTGCAGGGGCCCCCCTGATGGGATGGGAACTGGTTTCAGACCAGAGAGAAAGAATCATCAACTTGAGTTTGTCAAGGAAGAGGGACCTGGGCTCCCATTGGTCACGGGGTCGGAGCCTGGAAGCCCTCCGGGAGGAACAGGACTCGGGGTGGGTCCGCGCCCTGGGAACACGCCCTGAGAGCTGAGGTGTGTCTGCGGGTGTCCAGAGTCAGGCCAGCAAATTACCGCCTCAGAACTGGGCCTCGGTGTGCTCATCCCTAATGTGGGACCAACAGTTGTCTCTCGTTTTCTGTGAAGATTAAAAAAAAAATACCTGAGCAACATGCATGCTCACAGCACCCCAAGGTAGATATTATCACCCCCAGTTTATGGGTGTAGAAACTGAAGCTCAGGCAAAAATGAACCCCTTGCACAGCCTCACACGACTGCAGGTGGTAACCCCAGGAGCCTCATGCCCCTGCACTCCATCTGATGCGCTGCTGGTGGCAGGAGTGGGGCCCTCGCTGTCCCTGGACAGGCCCCTCTCTGTTCACCATTCCACTCTTGACCCCTCGTGTTCTCCACGACAGCCAGAGTGATTGACCCTTCACCCTTTATCACTTCTCTGCCTCGCAAAGCCTCCCATTTCACTGAGAATAAGTTCCCAAGCCGTCCCATGGCCACCTGCCAGAACTGTATGCCCCTTCCTGGTCTCACACCTGCCCACGCTCCCCATCCTCTGACCTCCTGTTTTCTGGAACATGCCCACAGGCTGCCACCTCAGGACCTTAGCACCTGCCGCCATTGCCCTCCCCCTCACATCCTTACTGTACATCCGGGGGACCCTCCCCGACTAGTTCCCAGCCTGTCACCTTCTCCCCTTGCCCTCCATGACCACCCACTGCCCTTTATCTCCTTATTCTCTTTCCTTTCTCATAAAACACACACAGCCCTTGAGGGATCAGACGGTGCTTCCCTGCTGGTCATCCCTCTATGCCCGAGGGCACAGGTCCAGGTGGCAGGGCTATTGTCTAACTGCTGGGCTCTCCTTGCTCCGAGCAGGGCCAGCACACAGTAGGTGCTCTGTGCACATTTGCTGCCTACAGAATGAGCTCTGAGGCCCCTGGGTGTCCTGGCAGAGGAGAGAGGAGCAGAAGCAGCCAGCTGAGGGGAAGGCAGGGCCGAGCTGGAGGAGGAACTGCAGGCGCTGGAGCCGCGGGCCCTGGCAGGGCACAGCCGGGTGCAGATTTTCACCATCCCCTTCCCCTATCAGCGGGGGTCAGGGACCCGGCACCACCCGAGCTGGCAAGAGAGGGGACGACGGACCTGGGGTTTGCAGGTTGGAGCCTCAGTCTCCAGGCTGGGATCACCCCAGGAAAAAGAAGCGGGGCCTCACGGAGTAGCTGACGGTAGCCAGAACCTGTGGGCACCCCAGGAGGTGCTGGCAAATAGCAGAATTAGCCCCAGATGGTGCCCATGAGGAATGGTAGTGAAGGGCCAGGCCACAGGGGGAGACGGGTTACTGCCCAGGACCACCACAGTGGGGGCCGTGCCCACCGTCGGCTGAGGGAGCAGGAGGTGGCAACCCTGGACACTTGGAAGGGGGCCCTGTGGAGCCACACTTGGGCAGGGCCAGCTGCCAGCCAAGATGTCACCCTTTCTCCTGCCCTCTGGTCTGCTGGGACCTCCCTGTCCCACCAGACAACAAGTGACAAGGGACTGGGTTTGCTGTTGGCAGGGCCTGCCTCCAAGGCTCGGAGCCTGGTGGGCCCCGCAGACGATCCAGAGGTGAAGGCCAGTGTTTAGTGACCACTCAGAGGGTCCCCCGCTGCTTGGGCCAAACTCCTCACTTGGGCCAGACCCACGGCACGTGTTTGTTGAATGACTTGAAGATAATTGCTTGCTGTCCCCTACCCCCACACCCGGTGTCCCCTGCAACCCACGCAAGCCCTCATTTGTGCTCCCAGGCACCCGGCCCCAGGCACACCCCCACCCCACACACGCTCCTCTCGCTCCTGCTTCACCTGCTCACACCCAGCACACACCTCACACTCACACATGACCCCGTCTCACACAACCACTCTTCCTCACATTTTCTCACACACACACACTCACACACACACACACACACACACACAACACAGACACAGTCTCACAGACATCTCCCCACTCCCTGGAAGGGAGTTGGGAACCTCTTAGATGCAAGAAAGCTGAGGGCGGGTGTCCCCGACCCATGGAAGCAGGCTGGCACGGTCCCGCGTGCAGAGCAGGTAGTGGGCACAGCATGGCAGCATCCCCTTGACCCTTGCTCCCTGTGAGGGGAGCACTGGGGTCCCCCTTCCTCAGAAATGAGAAAACTCAGGCTGAGGGATGTTAAGAGCTTCCTGAGGTGACAAAACCAGGAGGTGGGGAGCCAGGGTCCCCGCAGGGGCACCTACCCCCCAGGCCACACCCCACCACCCTGCGCCCAGCACGGGGCCTGCCAGGCACTGAGAGGCCAGAGCTGACCACTGCTGGCCAGAGCCAACCCTCCTGAGGTCCTTGTGTGGGGAGAAAGTCAGCTGTCCCCTGTCCAAAATGACAGATTGGAGATGGCTCTGTGCACCCAGGCGTGCTCACCCAGGGAGGTCCCCAGCCCCCTCATTCCCTGCAGACCCATCACCCAGGAGCCACCGTGGCCCCCGCACAGACTGACCGGCTGAGGCTTCAGCTCGGCGGCCGGAGTGTGGGGGCCTGGGAGGGCAGCAGAGTGTGGGCTCTGGAGGAACCAGCGGCTCCAGACTCGGAAAATGAACCCAGAAAGGTCTCAGCCTCCGTGGTGCGACTGTTGCTGGCCCTCCACTTGACTTCTAGCAGGAAGTCTTCTTGAAGGGTACTTTTCCCCTCGCCGGCCAGTTCCTCATTGAGAAATTCTCCTTTGTGACACTTGGACATGACGGCTCCCAAAGTGATGATGGGACTTTTTTTTAAAAAATATCCACTTCCAGGTTTGGATTCACTTCTTCATTCATCTGGAAGAACAGAGCGGGCTTCCAGGCGCTCACCAGACGTGGCCGCTGAGCCCGGGACACTGGCCTCGTCCCTGCACCCCGACTCTCCCGTCTCGGAGCGTGGAGGGGACCCCTCCTCCTCCCCTTCCTCTTCCCCGCCCCCACCCCCACACTCCGGGTGGCTTATCAGCGGCTCCCTGCGCCACCAGACGTTATGAAGCAACATGATAAAACCTCCTGTGGGGATGGTGACCAGATGAGGAAACCTCAGTGGGCTTCGGGACGGAATGGGCCCATCGTACCCCATCCTCCCTGGGGCCTGAGAAGGCAGACACCCCTCCCTCCACCCGCCATCGGCAGAGCGGCCGGTCACCAGGCCCCCTGCACTCCGTCCTGCCGACGAGGCCTGACGTCGCCTCCCTGGCCCCTGACCCCTGCCCAGCACAGAGCACCTCGTCCCCCAGTCCCCCACCCAGGCTGACCTGCCCCCCCCACCTCTCTCCCGCTCTCCCGCTGCGTCCGCGAGTTCCCGCTTGTCATAGAAGGCTCAGCTCACCCTCAGCCTGGGGGTCTCCCGGGCCCGGCAACACCGTGTCCTCTAGAGCCCCCACTCCCTCCGCCTCCTCCCCACACTCCCAGGTCGAGGGCCTCTGGGTGCCAGCCCACCCCCCACAGGAGACTGCATTCTGGGAAAATTACTGGTCCATCCCCCACTCCCACCGCCCAGGGCCGGGCCTGGCAGGCGGTAGCTGCTTAAGAGGAGAACTTTCTCAGATCCGGCTCCCCGGCCTGCATTTGTCCTCGTCATCTGAATGGGCAGGTGGACGTGCTCCGTTCCAACCCAGAGAAACAGGACTTGGAAGTGAGCGCCAAGGGACTGAGCCCCTCGGCCACAGAACTGGGTGGACTCACAGGTGGCCGGAGCACGGGAGACTGCTCTGGTGGGAGTCCCCAAGGTGAGACCGGTGGCCTGCACGTGAGGCAGGGCTCCAGGGCACACATGGTGATCCACCCCTCCTGCTAGAAATCCCAGCAGTAGAGCAACTTCCGTTGCGCTGAGAGCCCACCCTGGTTAACCCACCTAGCTTCTCTGAGCTGCTTTGCTCATAGCTATAAAGGGACACCCAGAACCTGTGCCCACTACGTCACTTCATAACAATTCCATGAGACTGTCATTTCCCACACTTTTTGGAGGAGGAAACTAGAGAACAGAGAGACTAAGCAGCTCGCCCCACGCGACACAGCTCAGGGGTGGTAAGGCTGGAAGGCACAGCCAGCTCTCTCTGGTCCCAGGGCCCTCTCTCTTCCTCAAAAGGTTAAACTGCCTACCAGAAAAAGGGGAAAAGTGTCACTGAACAGGAACCAGGAAACCTGCCACATGACCTGGGCCTGATCACAATCACTCCTGACCCTCAATTTCCTCATCATTTCCCTCTGAGCCCGGTTGACTCACAGCTCAAGACACAGTGAGCGTCACTTCCTCCACTCAGCCTGTCTCCGCCACTCCAAGTCGTGGTCCGTGGAAAGCCAACCCACCCTTCCTTTGTGCCTCCCCGGCCCCTTTATATCAGTTAGCCAGCGCTGTGTAACAAACCACCCCAGACTCAATAGATGGAACCCAGGGATCACGTTTTCTTCAAGGGCCACAGAGTGACATTCAAGGCTGTGCACATCATGTGGTCTCTGTTGCAATCCAAGCTCTGACTCGGTAACTCTGAAGAAGCCGTAGATGATACACCAATAAACGGTATGGCTGCATTTTAATAAAACTTTAGGTAAAATAAAAACAGGTGGCCGACAGGCGGCTGTTGGCCAATGCTTGCTTGCTTGAATCAGAAAGTGTCGGCTCTTGCTCACGAATCTATGAGCTGGATGAACCGCTCTGCTCCTCTGGGGCAGGCTCGGCTGATCTTGGTTGAACTCGCTCGGGCTCCTGAGCTCCTCTGGCCACATACCTGGGGGTCGCTGTTCTAAGTGTTTGGCTGCGTATCTGGTAGTTGTCCTTCCATCGGCCAGTGAGTGTGACAGAGGTGACTGGGCCATCTGTCTTCTTGTCGGGGAGACTTGCCTGGGTTTGTTCTCCTAGAAACAGTGGAAGCACAGAAGGCCCGGACTCAACGCAGACCGGCCATCACTTCTCCAGGTTTACTGACAAAAGAGACCAGCCCAGATGGGAGGGTAGCACGTGGCCCTGGTCTCCTGATGGGAAGAGCCGGAAGCCCCATTGGCAGGCTGTGGGTCTGGTACAGGCCAAAGCTGCGGCCACTTCCCCACGTCCAACACAGCCAGCTGAGTTTGTCACACGCCTCTGTCGTGGTGTAGCTCCCTCTTTCACGCTGTACCCACGTCTGTATTGCCAGTGTCTATCATATACCTGGGACGGGGTTTACCTGGGAAGAGCTCACAGACCCATCTCCATCACCCCCACCTCCACCTGGGTCTCCAGCATGGTACACCCTAACCTCTCCCATGTCCATCACCTCTGACTTGTCTCTTGAAACCCAGACCCTTCCCATCCAGTCTCAACAGCCTTGGGAATCCTTTGAATATAAACCCAATTATAAGAACCCCTCACTGTCATCCCCCAAATTAGGGCTTTCTAGTGGCTCCCCATCTCCTTTGAAAGGGGCCCTTACTAAAGTAGCATTGGAACTCTTGACACCAGCCCCTGCCTGTCCCTAGCCTCAACTCACACGTCCCTGTCCCTCTGCATTCTCACCTAACCAAAATGTCTCTTCCCCAGGGCCTTTGCACGGGCCCTTCAGTGTGCCTGGGAGCTCCGTCTTCCTCCTGTCACTAGCTGACTCCCACGGCCTCTCAGAGCGCAGCTCAAGCACCACCTTCTTGAGGAGGCTCCCTAATGCCCAAGTCAAGGTTTCTTCACGCCTCACTCTCCCCAACCTCTTTCATTCCCAGGTACCTTACCTCCGTCTGTAACCGTGCATCCATCACAATGACTCCGGTCACCACGCTCTTCCCTCTCACACTCCAGTCTTAGGACTCCGGGGTGTGTCACCATGATGTCGACCTCAGAGCCACCTAGCAAAGGGAAAGGCCTGGGGAACCCAAAGTAGGTCTACAACCTGATCTCTCCCGTGCAGGGGCCTGGGCAGGGTTCCAGGGGCGGTTCCTCTTCCCAGGCGACGGGAACAGTTCAGTTAGAGCCCAACGGGGCAGGTGGAGGGGAGGCTGGAGGGGAGGCTGGAGGCTCCACCAGTAGGGAAACGTCCAGAGGAAGCCCAGCGGCCCTGACCACCCGGCGGGATTCCTGCCTGTACTGATCCTGGCACCGTGTATGACCCCTCGGTGTCGGCAGAGGCAGGCAGGTCCCAGCCCCGAGGCACAGGGACAAATGCACATGGCCTCGAGTGACACAGATTAGGCATCAAAAGCCCCAGGTCAAACCCCAGTTCTCCTTCTTCACTGGATTTGGGACAAATGGCCTCTCTGTGTCTTGCTTCATCATCTGTAAAATGGGAATCAAAATAAATAAGTCCCTCACCACGTAACTAGGAAAGTGCTGACACTGTGACACTCTTGTCACTGGGAGCCGTTAGCTCTCCCCGCACTGAGGGGGCAGGACTACCCTCCGCATTTCGCAGGCGAGGAAGCCGCGGCTCAGTGATGCTCAGAAACTGGCCCCCAGCCTGCTGCTGGCAGGATGTGGAGCTGGCTGTCACTCAGAGGCACTCAGCAGCCCCAGGGGACGTTTCGGGTAGGGTTTTCACACCACCCCTCAAAGGTCAGCCAGGCCTTCCTCTTTCCTGCTGTCTGACTCTCCTGCCAAGTGACCAAACAGGACCCTGGGACCTGCTCTTACATGGGCCATTTCCTCTGCACCTGACCTTGTGCAGGCAACCCACCCAGCTGACCTTGTGCAGGAAGCCCACCCAGATGACCTTGTGCAGGAAGCTCACCCAGCTGACCTGGTACAGGAAGCTCACCCAGCTGACCTTGTGCAGGAAGCCCACCCAGATGACCTTGTGCAGGAAGCCCACCCAGATGACCTTGTGCAGGAAGCCCACCCAGATGACCTTGTGCAGGAAGCCCACCCAGATGAAACTCCGGGTTTACCTTTTGTAAAATACGTCTGACCACCTGTAGCACCACTTGGGATCATGAGTTCTGACTGAGACACTGTTGAGCAGCAGGTTGCCAGTGACCAGGCAGTGCCCAAATCGAAGGGCCCGAAGGGCAGGGCATGACCTTGAAGCACGTGGACAGGAAGGGACCCGAGCGCCAGGCATGGGGTAGCTCTGACAAGTGGGCTGCGCCCGCCCAGAGGCCACCTTGTTTATGCAACAACCAACTCATTCTGAAACCCAAGAGGCCGCCATCTGCCCACAGAGCAGCTCGGCTCAGACGCCACTTTCCTGTTTGCTTCATGGGCTTTGGATCGGGTCCCCCCCTCCTTCAAAAAAAAAAAAAAAAAGTTTGGCAAGGGATGCCAACCCTGAATTTTAAGTGGTTTTTCTCCCCCTCGCTCTGCATTTTTCTTTGATTGCATGTAACTTCAAACAGTGGTGTCATTTCAGGCTCCAAGCGGCCTCCTGCCATGGGTCCCACGCTGAGCTCTGCTGTCTAAATCTTTGGCCACTGCCACCCGGACTCTTAAACCACAGTTCTCCTTTGAGGTCGGATCATGTGGCATCTGAGGCTCCATAGCCTTAGAGTGGCAGTGTGAGCTGGCCAGGATCTTGCCCTTTTTATTTTAAACTCATCACTGTTTTTCAATGCCGGTGGCACATCGTCCCCTCGCCACCCAGTGATTCTCCAGGATTTCTCCATGTTTGCCTTCGTTGGTCTGGCCCTGCCCCCGCCTCCTCTCCTATAAACTTGGTGAATCGGGCCGGCGCGGGCTAAGCAGAGCCAAGGAGAACATCAGCGTGGACAGTGTGTGGTCCCTGCCCTCCTGGACTCCAGGCTACTCAGGACCCTTCATGTTAAGGCCTTGATTTTGGAGACACATGGAACCCTATCAGTCATTTACACTCGAGTATGAACTGACCTTCAACAGAAAGGAAAGAAATTGTTGCTAGATGGTGAAGAAGGAA